TTTTCAGCTCTTTGGTATTTTCAGCTCTAACTTTGGTATTTTCAGCTCTAACTTTGGTGTTTTCATCTCTAGCTTTGGTGTTTTCAGCTCTTTGGTATTTTCAGCTCTAACTTTGGTGTTTTCAGCTCTAACTTTGGTGTTTTCATCTCTAACTTTGGTATTTTCAGCTTTAACTTTGGTGTTTTCAGCTCCAGCTTTGGTGTTTTCAGCTCTAACTTCGGTATTTTCATCTCTAACTTTGGTATTTTCAGCTCTAACTTTGGTATTTTCATCTCTAACTTTGGTGTTTTCAGCTCTAACTTTGGTATTTTTCACTTTCTGTGCTGCTTTAGTGTGCAGCTCTGAGGTTCAGTTAAGTGTTGTAAGCTCTCCTCACAGGGTCAAAGCAATTCCTGCTCTAGCTGGGGACCAAGGACAACCACCCAAATCTCAGGCCCAAGAGCACAAACAATGTGAATTAAGAAGGAAAAACAAGAAGGATGGAGCTGCATAACCTAAAGCTATAATTGAACAATGAACTCCAATATGCAAATGGAGCAGAACTTATAAAAAGGGACAGACCCTGTGACCAGGCATGCATTTTGCGCCCATTTTGGTTCATCCTGGGTTCAGTTTGTGACCATTTTGGGTTCATTTTGTGCCCATTTTGGTCCATCCTGGGCACAGCCCTGGCTGGGCTCTGGTGCTGCCCAAGGTGGATCCATGGAGGAGATCTTTGAATCAATCCCTGCTTTATTCTGTAACTCTGCTCGAGGCCCTCACACCCTGCCTGCTCTAGGGAAAGGTTGCCTGGAGATGTGAATGAATTCTCAGAATGAGGTGATCTGGAAGGTTCTCTGAACCCAAACCATCCCGTGGTTCTGTGATCCATCCCCAAGGGGATGAAATNGACCTCTAAAATGCCCTTTCCAACCCAGGGTGGTACTCAGGGACCTCTAAAATGCCCTTTCCAGCCCCAGGGTGGCACCCAGGGACCTCTAAAATCCCCTTTCCAGCCCCAGGATGGCACTCAGGGACCTCTAAAATCCCCTTTCCAACCCAGGGTGGCACCCAGGGACCTCCAGAAAGGCCCTTTCCAGCCCCAGGGTGGCACTCAGACCCTTTCCAACCCCAGGGTGGCACTCAGGGACCTCTAAAATGCCCTTTCCAACCCCAGGGTGGCACTCAGTGACCTCCAGAAAGGCCCTTTCCAACCCCAGGGTGGCACCCAGGGTGGCACTCAGTGACCTCTAAAATGCCCTTTCCAGCCCCAGGGTGGCACTCAGGGACCTCTAAAATGCCCTTTCCAGCCCCAGGGTGGCACGCAGGGACCACCTCCAGAAAGGCCCTTTCCAGCCCCAGCTCCAGGATCCCCCCAGGCCCCAGCCCTGCCCCACTCACAGCCTCCTCCTCCTTGTCCACGTTGCTGGTCTGGGACAGTTTGATGTTGCCGTTGCCCAGCTCGCCGTTGGCAGAGAACTTGACGCCGTCCTTGGCGCACGAGATGACCACGGCGTCGCCGATGTGGCTCAGGTCGCGGCAGATGCGCGCGAACTCCGCCGAGGGCATCTTCACCACGCAGCTGTACTCCTGCTCCTGGGGACAGGGACAGCCTCAGGGACACTGTGCCACCCCTGGGGCCCTCCCAGTGCCACCCTGGCAGCCCCAAGGCTGCGGTGTTTCAGTCACCCAATCGTTACTTACTGGGATTCCCAGCTGCTCCACGTCGAGATCCATCAGCTTCATCTCGTAATCAGAAACCTTCTCCTGGTCTGGGCAAGCAAAGCTCAGTGACACCAAATGGCAGCAGGACTGCTGCCAGTCCCCACTCCCTCCAGGTACAGCCACCTCAATAAATGCAATGAGATTTCCCTCTGTTCCCTTAGAGCTGAACTCTGAGAATGCCCTAGCAGCCTTTTACAGGCGTTAAGGATACAGCCAAACCCACCTGTGTGCAGCCTGAGAGAGCCTTCCTCTCACAAAAAAATTACTTATAATATTTAATGTTTTATAACTTGATCAAGTTTCAATCTCCAGACTGTTCCAACAATCAGGTATCTCCTCTCACTCCTGCAGCACCCGCTGCCATTCCCCTCCCTCCTGCACCCCTGAACACACCCCAGTACCAAAGATTTCCCAAACCCCACTCACTGGGTGCCTCGAACACCAGGGCCAGGGTGTCGGCGTTGTCCTCGGCCCGCAGGGTGATGATGTCCTCGTTCCCTGCACACTTCAGGATCTTGGACATGCTGCAGGGGACAAAGGCAGGTCACTGACGGGGCTGGGAGCTGACAGGGCAGGAGGGGATGGGATATTACAGTGACCAGGAAAAGTGGGTGTATGGGGAGCCCCCCAATGCTTGGTCACCCACAAAGTTCTTTCACGTACACGGGGTGGAACCTCCCATGATCAGCTCCTGCCTGTTCCTCCTGTCCCATGGCTGGATCCATCCTGACCCCTCCCATGGATATTTACACACAGGGATGACTTCCCTCTCTCAGCAGTCTCCTCAGCCTTTCCTCATAACGGACACGCTCCAGACCCCTCATCTTTGTCCCGCTGCGGGACCTCCGTGTCTCTGCTCTGCTGCGGAACGCAGAGCTGGGCACAGCGCTCCAGAAGCGCCTCACAGGGCTGACCAGCGGGGCAGGAAGGAGCAGGAGTGGGTCCCTCCCAGCCCNCTTTGGTGTTTTCAGCTCTAACTTTGGTGTTTTCATCTCCAACTTTGGTGTTTTCAGCTCTAACTTTGGTGTTTTCAGCTCTAACTTTGGTGTTTCCAGCTCTAACTTTGGTATTTTCAGCTCTAAACTGGTATTTTCAGCTCTAAACTTTGGTATTTTCATCTCTAACTTTGGTGTTTTCAGCTCTTTGGTATTTTCATCTCCAACTTTGGTATTTTCAGCTCCAACTTTGGTGTTTTCAGCTCTAACTTTGGTATTTTTCAGTTTCTGTGCTGCTTTAGTGTGCAGCTCTGAGCTTCAGTTAAGTGTTGTAAGCTCTCCTCACAGGGTCAAAACAATTCCTGCTCTAGCTGGGGACCAAGGACAACCACCCAAACCTCAGGCCCAAGAGCACAAACAATGTGAATTGAAGAAGGAAAAACAAGAAGGATGGAGCTTCATAACCTAAAGCTGTAATTGAACAATGAACTCCAATATGCAAATGGAGCAGAACTTATAAAAGGGACAGACCCTGTGACCAGGCATGCATTTTGTGCCCATTTTGGTTCATCCTGGGTTCAGTTTGTGGCCATTTTGGGTTCATTTTGTGACCATTTTGGGTTCATTTTGTGCCCATTTTGGTCCATCTTGGGCACAGCCCTGGCTGGGCTCTGGTGCTGCCCAAGGGGGATCCATGGAGGAGATCCTTGAATCAATCCCTGCTTTATTCTGTAACTCTGCTCGAGGCCCTCACACCCTGCCTGCTCTAGGGAAAGGTTGCCTGGAGATGTGATTGAATTCTCAGACTGAGGTGATCTGGAAGGTTCTTTGAACCCAAACCACCCCGTGGTTCTGTGATCCATCCCCAAGGGGATGAAATGAAAACCCATCTTCCACCAGAAGCGTCTCAGCTGCCATGGATGGGGCTGAGCCCTCAATCCTCACTGCAGGGACCCTCAAGGGACCCCTGGATGTGCATCCAGGGCTGGGAGCTGCGAGCCCAAGCCCAGGATCTGTGCCTGGAGTGCTGCTGATAGCGCCAGAGGCTGCTCGGCCGCCTGAGATAAGGCAGAGCTGCCAAGCCCTGATCCCCCAGGGTCACCCCGAGCCACGTGTGTGCCACATCCTTTGTTCTGAACCCTGCCAGGGACGGGCACTGCAGCTCTGCAGCTCTGCCAGGCCTTCCCCACACCAAACCCTTCCCAGTGTTGAGTTTGAGCCTGCCCTGGTGTGCCTGGGGCTGTTTGCTGTCCCCTGATGTGCCCGCGGGCAGAGCCGGCAGCGTGGGAAGCACTCACCCCTTTGCTGATGTACCCTGCCAGCAGCAGGGCTCCGATGATGATGAGGAAGGTCCCGATCATGAAGAGCACCACGGCCAGTGCGATGGCCTTGTAGGGGATTTTGGGTGGGCTCTTCTTGAACTGGAGGGGGAAAAAACCCAAATATTGAACAGCTCAGCTGGGCACAGCTCCCCTCCCACGGCAGCACAGGACGGGATTCTGCTGCAGAGCTGCCCTCCAGGAGGAATCCTGCCCATGGAGACGCTGCTGGGGCAGCCCCTGCTCCCAGCCGTGTTCCCAGGAGGGCTCTTTGGGCTTCCCAGAGGGAAAGGGCCCAGGATTGGGGTCAGATTTAGGGTCAGGGTTTGGCTCCCTCCCAGCTTTGTCCCTCTCTGAGCTGCACAGCATCACAGGATCCTGTGCAAGGCCAAGCTGTGGGTGCACAGCTCCCTTCCCCAGTTTTACCTGCAGGTCGATGTACCCATCGTCGGTGCTGGAGAGTTTGGAATATTTGACTTTGCTACTGGGGATCCCAGCAGAGAGATTGGTCCTGGACGGCATCATGCCAGGGGGGCCTGGGCATCAGCTACAGCCTGGAGCAAACACAGGAGAGGAAACTCAGGGATGGCAGCCTGAGAGACACAGAACCCAAGTTTCTGAGGAGAAACTCCCCTGTCAAGGCCGAGCCACCCCAACACAGCTCTGTTCCTTTCCTAAATTAAATCTTTTCCCACAGAGGATTTAAGCATTTCATTTGAAGGCTGAAATGCACAATGGTACAGCTGGAACAATGTTTGGAATCAAGGCAGAACCTGTGCTTCAAAGCAGATGGGAAATCCCAGCAGGGCCCAGGTATGAGCCAATGGAGAGCTCCCACTGCAGCTCTGGCTGCCTCTGAACAGGACAGCAGCAAATAAACCCGACCCAGAGCTA